GTACACGTACCCACAGGAGTACGAAGGTACTCCTAATATAATAAATGTATTTTAATTAAATATTGGTTAAAGAAAATAGCAAAGTTAACATCGTAACCAACCGTTCGTCAGCCTGCTTGCGTTCTTTGCAACAAATTTTTTACTGTGACATTCGCTGTGTGAAAGTAAAATTTATTGATAGATCATAATAAAAACTAGTCATACATACAGAAATGACCCAAGAGTGTCAAAGTAATATTAACACTGTCAGCCCTTCTGAGTGAAGAGGTTGACCACATGGGTGAGCAACGGCCAATTTAGGAGTACTTAAAAACAAAAAAAAAAGGTAGGATCCACTTTTAAGTGTAGGGTGAAGAGAAACTAAAGTTTCTGAACATCCCAGGTTGTCTTTCAAGACCCAGAGATATTAAAACCTAGACTACTGCTACGAATTTTGATTTAACTTGTTAACATATTCACGGCTAGGGCACCGAATGAGAATGCTCGGATCGTGGCAAAGATAAAGTGTAATTTCTGACCGCCCCAGGTTATCTTTCAGGCCCCAAATTGTTTGAGGCGTGAGACATTTCAAACCTAAATACCTGCCAACAGTGGAATGAATTGGTAGAGTATTTCTTTGTGTGTGATGTGTCCGAGGAGAATTTTTTAAAGTTCTGTTTATTTGTGCATACATATCTCTGAATACATAAAGAAGAAATAATGCTATATATATTAATTTCTATATAACTTTTTATTTTATTTAGCTTTTCCAACTTTACATTAAATTAACTTAAATATATTCAAGTATAACGTACAGAAAATAGTAATTTGTTCAGTTTGAGAATATTCAGTTTTATCACTTATGAAACTTCTTTTTATATTGTACAAGATATTTTGTCATTAGGGGAGCTAACACAACAGTTCACTATTTGGAAGTATATAAACGTATGAAAACTTTCTAATCTTTTAAATCAAAAGTCTTGTAAGGTTTTAGTAATACTCTCTACTAAGTAAAAAGAGAGTATATTAAACAGAATATGAATTTCTCACATTCTCTTCAGTGTTAAGAGCGTAGAAGTAGACTGATTAAACAAAACCAACTCCGGAAAAATGGATATTTTATTCACAACTATATACTTAGTTTTTACATAGTTAGCTTTTTAAGTTACAACAATGAATTACAGGAACATGATGGTTTTTTTTTGTTGTTGTTGTTGTTGTTTTGAGCAATTCATTTCGGGTTTGACGTACATTTGATAACTTATTTGAATCGGGTACGTTTATGGAACTGGATGCGTGATTAAGTTTTTGCCAAAATATGGTTGTACTTAGACTACTGAATTTTAGGGTTTTACGTTTCGCGTATGGTGATTTTGAATTTAGAACTTGAGATATCATCGTGCTATTTCTTGGATTGTTTCACAGCTGAAACACACACACTCATCTAGTTATAAAGGCCAAACGATAAATTTATTATGTTATTGATAACGTAAGAACAGGTAAACTAAACTAGACACAAGTTAAGCGAATGGTAATACAATGTTATGATAATATAGCACAAGCACATTTATAAAGTTAATCAAATAATTAATGTGGGAAGTATTACACTCGCTAACGGATCAGTTGTGTACAGAGTAATCCATACAACACTAACTGTACTGTGTCAACCAAATTAGGAGGAGGTTTTTTAATAGGAATAACGTCAAAAGTTTTGTTGGGATAGTTGTTTTAATCATTCTTCCCAGAACGGGTTGGATATGTTACAATTGGTTCCGTAATGTTAAGGGTGAGTTTTGGAATGGTTTGTCAGGTATTATAGTACACGTGGAAAACTGTGGGGTGGTCAAAAATATACATCTATATTCTGTTATGTATTTTATTAAAAATAAGTATAAAGTAATTACTTGTTGGTTAACTCTTAAATATGGTAATTACAGAAATGCGTGTATATTTACATGTGATTTTAATGAATGATATCTTGGGTATCTAAGTTAAATGTGCTGGTATTACTTTAACCTAGCTCTGCGTCTTTGATCATTTCTTTTGTTACGCAGAGTTACCCTAAAATACAGCATAATCGACAGATTAAAAGTTGTTTTAGTGTAATAACGTTTCGGATTTACATAGGGGGATACTAATGTTTGTGTGATTGTTTATCGCCTTGTTCTAACGAAATTTATCGATTATAACGGCTACAATACATCTAAAGTGAATTCCATGTTCAGTCAAAAATATTATCATTAAATTTTAACCGAACATCTTTGTTCGGGCAACTGTGTTAAAACGGAGCGGAAATACATCATGTACTAATTACGATATTACTTATTAGATCCTTTTACAAACACACGCTGGTGTCACCTTTCAACTGTTTGGAGATGTCACAACGACAAACAAGACCACAGGTAACCCGATACAGCAACGTTTTAATCCACAAAATATCGCTACATCTTGCGTTGATGCCGCGGTACTTTTCTTTTAACTCGTTCATTTTTTTAAAAAACAAATATCTTTATTTCAGTTCTATAGAGTAAGCCGTGCGTTGTAGTATGCTGCAAAATCAATTCGTGACCAATAGTTCAGTGTACTCGATTACCGCTTTTACAAGCGTATATACATTCAGACATGCCTAACGTAAAGCAGAGTCGAGGAACGATGATCAGTGTATGCCTTGTTTAACCAATATCGTATTTTATTACTAGTTATCATTTCGCTGATTTAATCATCTGAGGAATATTTTAAAAACCCGTAGACTGTTGGATGACTGTCGTCTACAAGATAAGGAGCTGAGTTGTGTGTTGTGGCTACATCGAACTGTTTTAACTGTGAAGTTGATACGCTGTTGTTAGCGACCGGGATGCATAATTATTTTAGGTTGACATAGACTTACACGATTTATTTTGTGTATTTAATTCCATAACATAAAATTCATGTCCAATTATCAGTAATTCTTGATGAAAACCATCAATCTGCATAGATCATAACTTAAAAATACTTTGTAGGTAATATAGGTTAATATACCAGTCTAACTAGGAGTATGGAATGTCATAGAAGTAATATGGCTTAATTTAATATAACCTGTCTAACTAGGAGTATGAAATGTCATAGAAGTAATATGGCTTAATTTAATATAACCTGTCTAACTAGGAGTATGAAATGTCATAGAAGTAATATGGCTTGATTTAATATAACCTGTCTAACTAGGAGTATGAAATGTCATAGAAGTAATATGGCTTGATTTAATATAACCTGTCTAACTAGGAGTATGAAATGTCATAGAAGTAATATGGCTTGATTTAATATAACCTGTCTAACTAGGAGTATGAAATGTCATAGAAGTAATATGGCTTGATTTAATATAACCTGTCTAACTAGGAGTGTGAAATGTCATAGAAGTAATATGGCTTGATTTAATATAACCTGTCTAACTAGGAGTATGAAATGTCATAGAAGTAATATGGCTTAATTTAATATAACCTGTCTAACTAGGAGTATGAAATGTCATAGAAGTAATATGGCTTAATTTAATATAACCTGTCTTAACTAGGAGTATGAAATGTCATAGAAGTAATATGGCTTAATTTAATATAACCTGTCTAACTAGGAGTATGAAATGTCATAGAAGTAATATGGCTTAATTTAATATAACCTGTCTAACTAGGAGTATGAAATGTCATAGAAGTAATATGGCTTAATTTAATATAACCTGTCTAACTAGGAGCATGGAGATTTGTAAAACGAAAAGTGGCCGTTCTTAATATTTTCAATAGTATAATTGTTGTATTCTTGAAAAATAGTAAGCAGAATGGAAGTTTTGTTTTTATATGTTTGGATTGCTGTCATTGATGGCCAGCATTGAAATCTCCCTATTTAACCTGTACTAGAAGAAATAAACTATTTAAAATCATTATTTACTTCCTTATTCTTCTTTATAATTTAGCTATAGTATCATTCATAATAATGTATTTGTTATAATCTTTATTAGGTTTATTTGAAATGATTTGTAGCAGTGCTTTTTTCTTGTATTTTTAACTATCTTTGGTGGTTTTAATAATTTTATTTTACACGCAAGTGTCATAACATTTTTTTAAGGTTTTTCATTGTATAAATGTTATTTACTACTTTTTGCAATTTTATTTTATATTTTCTAGTACTTGGTATGAATTTTGTAGATATCTTATTTTGAAAAATAATCACTTTTATATACATATGACTAAAGATGTTTTACTTTTCTTTAATAATACTTAGTCTAAATATATAGTATTAAATAAAGATTAAGGGTGTGGGGTGTGTGTAGATAAGCATATAACTTTGGTGGATGAGTCTTATTTATTGCAAACTAACGAACTATATATTGTTAGTATGATTTAGTTCTATATTCAGTCATGCTCATTTAACGTTGGAGATTATGGAGAGAAGTTGGGATACATAGCCTCCCAGCTTCTCTCCATAATCTCCAACGTTAAATGAGCATGACTGAATATAGAACTAAATCATCCTAACAATATATAGTTCGTTAGTTTGCAACATATAATCTGTATAACTTGATGACAATCTACATAGCCTAATACACCAAATAACAGAATATAAATATTGCAGTGATAGAACTATACATATAATCTGTATAACTTGATGACAATCTCTGATTTAGATTATGAGGGTCGATAAGAGATAAGATCTGTAATTTAGCTTTTGGGTTTTTTTTTGGATTTCATAAATTTGTGTTTTGCACTTGTGAATTATTACCATACTCAAAACCTGTTGCAAATGATGAATGGTAGGTCAGCATGGGTTTAATCAACCATGCCCTTTTTGATTATTATTCTTCAGGTTTTTGCAAATTTTTTTTTTTTTTAATCCATGACTTGAAAGTTAATAGAAGAAAAATAATGCACCAAATGATTTTTGGGTCCTATTTGCACAACTAATGTTAAGTCACTTTACATTTTCAAATTTGAATCTCTCTGTGTCAATCAATACACATTTTTTTTTTCTTGTATAATTATAAACTCTGTGCTCAACAGATGGGACCACCAAATACCCTAAGTGACAAGGTTCAATCTGTTTTTGCTGCTCTTAGATATGACTGCAAATCTGATATTGTTATCACTTCTAGCCAACAATGAGTAAGTATTTTATTTCTTATTTTATAACATATACATTTTACAGTGAAATATAATATATATGACTAATTTATATATCTAGCTTGTTGGGAAATAAACAGTTGTATATACATCTTATACCTGTGTATTATAGTTAGTATGTAAATATATTAATAACGATTATAGCTGCAGTAAAGTTTATGGATATAAGGGCTGTGGAGGAATAGGTTAATTAACAATCGTGAACCATAACTTGGTTGTTTCAATAAAATAAATATATAAACAAAAATTGAAATGTCTATTGTGAAATTCAATACTAAACCTGTTACTTGTAATGAATTTCAACTATATAAACTTTTCAAAATATCATAGGTAAATAACTGTGTGTGTGTGTGATATTTAGAAGAAAATGTCTGTATTAATAACACTGAAAAGCATTGGGAAATATATAATCTGAAAATGCAAATGAATAACAAGATAACTGATTTTCCATATAACAGTTGTGCTTCAGTCCATAATATCCCAACACCTACTACCTTTCACCATCTGCATCCCGTTATGGGTATGGTAGTTGCATATTATATTCAATTTGAACATGTGCTTATGCATGTATTAGGTCATCAAGAATTTAATGTCACGTTTTGGGACACTTTCATTAACCACCCTCCAAAAAACATACACCTAAATGTCATGTTAGTGTAGCCTATATATCTGTAAAGTTTAGTATACTCTAATCCATTATAGTAATGGCACATGACGAGACACAAATTCAGCTTGTAGAAAAATAATGCCTCAGTAGCCGCAGAGAATATCAAAGAAGTTTATGGAAATGTTTTGAACATTCATAAGTGTCAACAATGGTTCGGCAAATTTCGTTCAGGTGACTTTAGCCTTAAAAACTGGGATGACAGAGGCCGGCATGTTGGAATTGATATTGATGCTCTGAAGATGCTTGTTGAGTCTAACCCAAGGCAACACAGTCATGAAATGGCCCTGAAATTACATGTCTCTCGTGAAACAATACGTAAATATCTAAGGAACATGAAAAAACTCCATAAAGAAGGTAAACGGGGGCCTCACAAACTCTCCGTTGATCATCGTTTCCAACGTCTGAACGTTGCTTCATCTCTTCTGGCGCGTAATCCATATTTGGACAGAATTGTCACCGGTGATCAAAAATGGATTCTCTATGGGAATATTAAATGCTAAAAACAATGGCTCAGTCCTAGACAAAAACCACTTCCAACCCCAAAACCTGGACTCCATCTGCAGAAAGTGATGCTTTGCATTTGGTGGGGTATCGAAGGAGTAATTCATTTCAAATACTTCATTCCACAGTGATCTGTCAATGCAGAGATCTATAGTCAGCAACTGGAACATTGAAATCAAGGCCTTCATCAGAAATGCCCTTCACTCGTCAATTGGAAAGGTGTTCTTCTCCACGACAATGCATGTCCACATGTGGTACGTTTGATGCAACACAATATTATGGAGTTGGTTTGAGAAGTTCTTCCCCACTCACCATATTCTCCAGATATGGCACCATCAGATTACCGTCTTTTAAGTTTGCTGCAACACCATCTTAATGAGAAAATGTATGCAAATGTGGAAGGTGTAAAAGAGGACATCGACATGCTTTTTGCTTCAAAGCCAAGTGATTTCTTTAATCAGGGCATTAACAACCTGATTGTAAGATAGAAAAGCATCAACAATAAGAATGGAGACTATTTTATTTAATTAATATTTTGTTTTGATATATTAGTTGTTTGGGTTTTTTCATCTAAAAAAAAGTGACATCTAATACATACACTACCCCTACCTAATTACAAATCCCGTGTTAACAAATGCATAGCTTAACTGAAGATCAAAAGTTTAATCTCTACACATTGTCATGCACATATGCACTGTCTTTCTTTTTTTACATATTTGGTGTTAATATCTCTTCTTCTTCTTAATTGATGAGCTCTGGTGTAGAACAATAAACAAATACAAAATTAGATAAGTAAATCAATAATAAAAGTAGTGGAAAATCTAGGTGCCTCTTTTAAAACTAATTGACATTTTGTCTGTAAAAATGTTACCACTTTATCCAGTGTTTAACCTGGGATACTGATCAAATTAGAATAGCAAGCTAATTGAATTAACATTTTAAAAACATACTACGTTAATCACACAAAAAAATAAAATTTTTAGTCTAATTAAAAGAAAATTAGAGAAAATTATAAAAGGCACTGATGCAAACTTGTAATGTATAACACTAGAATTTCTAGGTAGATTCATTTCTCTGTGTGTGTAAGTGTCGGAATATGTATATAAAATAATTTTGTAGTGAGTATATTAGACCTATCTAGAACCTAACTTGAGTTGTTGCCATGTAATTGTAACCAACTAAATATATAATTACAATGTGTATGGATACAAGTAAGCTTATAACATTGTGTGAGCTTAAATTATTCAATTAGATTTTTGAATGTTATTGTACTAAGAGAGAAAATAATCACCAACCTTTTACTGCTGTATTAAAAAGAGATGATTAATTTGATTAATGAGCAGCTTTGTTTTTTACTGGTAGATTCATGTTAAGTATGAATGTATTATATTTAAATTATGTGATATGAACAGTTAAATATACATGTGATTCTGTGGTAACATTTATGGCTTTAAATAGTTGGAATGAAAACTATTTCTTTAGTTTTAGGGAAATAAATAAACATTATGGAATAAAATAAAAAGCTATATTGCATTTATTTAAAACATTGTGATTCTTTTTATAATGTTTATTTTTCTTTATGTAATGTTAACTAAATGGCATAGAACATAGAAATTTATACATTGGGTTTGAAATATTGTCTATTATGATTTTGCGAATGACCTTAGGTACTCAAAACCTCACTCAGCTTGAACAGTTGGAGAAAGCAGCTGAGGAGAGAGCAGCAATAGTTGCTAAATATGACCGTGGTCGAGAAAATGGAGCCCAGATTGACTCTTGGGAAGATCCATCTTTTGAAGTGTATCATGTCACAGACCGTTATGGATTTTTACAGTGAGCTAAAACTGAGTGTTTTTCTTTGATTAGTCAGGATTTTGAAGTCTAGTGTTGAAACTATTTTTACCATTCTTCAGTAAATTATATCTTAATATATAGCTATATACTGTAGAAAAGTAAGAGACAGTTTTACCATTTAAAATGTTTAATAGAGATTCAACAACTATAACATTTACTATTCAAACTTTGCTCAAATTGCAGTTTAAAGTATGAAAATTGTACATTTATATGTGCACACACACCCGTACATAAACTTTTTATCTCATAATGTCTTTCAATTTAAACTTAACATTTTTTAACAGGTTCAGTTTTCTGATTACATTTATATATACTAAATATAACTTCATGCAACTGTCTTCATTATGATATAGTTCAATATGATTTCAATAATTCATGAAAACTTGATATCACAGTAGATGTACTAGACTTTTGGTCTGATCTATTGTACAGCTTGAGAAACAATGAAGAAAAGTGTAAAGAAATTGTGAGTTTCAGCACCTCTGCTCATGTTTGCAAAGGAGATGCTGCACTGACTCCACTGATTGGCCTCTGTGATATTCTCAGTGTTTTGTTGTACTCTTAAAGTCTAGTTATTGGTGGAAGTCTAGTCACAACATTAGTGTTTATCTGTATTTTTGTGAACATTATAACTTTTAGTTAATCATTTTCTGTGAATGAATAGTATTTTTAAGAAAGCCTGTTCCGTAGCATACTGACATAGTGTTATGGTAGATAACATTTCAACCAAGGCTTTGCGTTTCATGTCTAGCCTATGAGGTGAAATCTGTTATTAAGCATAAGGCACAGAAGGAGTGATGTTGAGAGATTATTACATTCTTCTTACTGAAAATGTATATAGGGTCAGTAAAAAAAGAAGGATTTTTAAAAAAATTATTACCACAAACTACCAATCTGTAAAATAAAACCCCGTATAAATTATTTTTCAGTCATGGACTTTCTTAAAAACCAATAGGAATTCATTCTCTTTCAAAGTGAAATATTGACCAAAACAAGAAATGTATTTTAATATCATTCAATCAATATCTGGAATTTAAAGAACAAATAAGAAGATTAAATGAATAAACTGATGTGACTCACTTTCAGCAGGTGATTTTTAAAATTGGGTTCGTTTTTATTTACCAGTTAGTTTTAGTGTATGCTGACTTTGTTGTTTGTAAGAATAGGTTTTTAATGTGTTTCAAAAGTAAATTAAAACAAATATTCACCAATCACTGTCAGTTAAGATGGATTTCAATATTCCACATTTAACATCAACTTTCACTTTTTGTTTATGCAGTGACACCCATCTTCCAGAAAGACTTACAGCTCATGAAGCAAAGGTAATACACATACAGCTTACTGTTTTTAAATAAACCAAGTTTTGTCATTTCTCAGATTTTAAGTCTGCATTGTTGCATACATTATTTTGTTTTTGTTAACTTTTTTCTTCGTCAATATTTGATGTTAGAAGCTTATGATACTGACCTTAAAGATGGAAGAATACAACAAAGAAGGAAAATGAAACAGGTTATTTTTTAAGCATGTTTTCAAAGTTATTCAGTATTTCTTAAGTCTTTAAAGTTTTTTATTTATTTATTTTAGGTACGACAAGTAGAAAATGACAGATTAAATAAATGGATGAAGATGCTTAAATCATGGGAAAAGTACTGCCAGAGTGACAAAGTAAGTTTTTTTTAATTAGTAACAATATATTTTGTGTTGCATTTATAAAAGTGGAGGAATTATTGTGTAATAGTGTAGGATTAACTATAATACTAGGTTTTAGTATTTAATTACAAAGAAGAAATGTTTTAATGGAAGTGTAATTTTTCCTGATTCTGTGGTTATGAGAGTAATATCTGCAAGTTGCATAATAAGTTTAGAAGACTAGAAAAAAATGATAATTTTTAACAGTGGGAATGATTTCATATTGAAAACTAATAAGGCCAAAAAGTTTTTTAACTTGTAAGTTAATTGTTTGTATATTAATTGTTTAATAGTTAAATGATAGCTGCTTTGATATTAGAAAAGAAAAAAAGGATTACTTGCTGCATGCTTGAAATTTGATCATCTTTCATATTGGCATTAAAGCTTGTAAAATTTTCCACATTCAGTTCTTAAAAGATAATTGAGCATGTATAAGGTTTATTTTAGTTAGATTTTGTTAAATATTATTCATAGCACGTAAGCTTAAAAACTTTCAAAATATTTAGAAGCAGGAACATTTTATTTGATATTTTATAAAAGCTTTGTTTTTATATGTAGTTACTCTTTTGTTTTTCTCATTATAAATGGTTGAGTACAATATGTTAAAATAATTTTGAATATTCAAATCAGCAATTCATGTAACAAACACAGCTAATATAAACTTGCATTGGAACAGAGTGTATCGGAACTACATATTGACATTTGACATTTGTAAGTATGTGGTTTCCAACTAAAATTGATCTTTTATGGAAAAGGTATTTAACCTAATAGCCAATTCAAAATGTTTAGAAATTGAGGACATAAAGGAGTCTTCAGATTAAGGTTTTAGAATTTCCTAGATGATGATATGCCTTGTACTTAAGGACAATGGAAAATTTGGGACACCAGGATCATCCAATAATTCATACCCTAGATGTGCAAAGAAAAGTGCAGTGTCTTGTAACAGGTGAGAAACCATAGTAGCAAAGCAATCCACGTACCTTAGGCTTAGGTATGCAACATAATCAAGAAGGATCTCCATCTGGAAACAAAGTTAACAGGGTATGATAAATCATACCTTCCATTCGTCTGTCACATACCTCAAGCAGTTGCTGAATTAAGTAGGTATTCATGATATAGCATACGGTGACATACCAGCTGTAGCAACTGTAGATTTCTGTGAGACCATACTGTTGTAATTGGCACTGGGAAACTAGTCTTCATATTCTAGTTGGGTTATGGAAAGCTAACATGGATAGTGGTGTGCTTTAAACATGACAACTTATGACTGAATTGCTTACAATGAAAACTCTATTACAGGGATATTATCAAGATACACTGTTGTATAGGACATGAATGGACACATCAGCATTGATGACTTTGCAAGGTTCAAAAAAGTGATTTAATATAAATGAACTCAACCCTCTGTATTGTAAATGAGATTTTAACCAATCATATAGAAATATTATAAACTTGCTGACTGGCTCACATTCTGTTTAAATTTGGGTTCAATTTAATTTAGTAGTTTTGAGCAGCAGCAAAATCTAGAAATGATTGTTGAAACTAGATAATTTAGTAAAAACTTTGTTATTCAGATAATTACAATAAGACAAACTTCAAATAATTTCTGTTGTTATTGTTGCTTACCAGTTGATCAAAACAATAATTTTATCCTCGTCCTGTAGCTCAGACGGAGAATATATAAAGGAATACCAAATGCAGTGCGTGGTGAAATCTGGACAAGATTACTAGAGGTTCAACGTGTTAAACAAGAACAAGAAGGAAAGTATAAGGTAAACTTTGACTGGTAATATTTGTCTTTTTTTATTTCAGCATTTTTAACAGCTTCAGTAAAAATAGAATGATCAAGGCAATTTGTTTGCTATGATAAATAACACAAAAATTCTAACTTTCACACTGATGGTTTATAACATATTATTACAGTATTCATTATTACCTCACCAGAAGTTTTGTATAAGCTTTAAGAAATCAATATGTACATACTTAAAACATAGTATACATTGTGTGGTGGTCAGGGTGACTTTGCAGGAAGAAGTAGTGACTAAAGTAATGGTGATAGGGGTGCTTTCTGTTACCCACTTTCAACACCCAGCTCTTAATGTCCTTCCACTGTGTTTGACAAGATTAATTTATTGACAGTCATTGGCCATAGAAGTGTTTTATGGGCTGAATTTGAAAGGTCACAAGTCAAAGTAGGAATTGGGTATAACTCAAGAAATGGCTTTTCATATCAGCCTTATGGTTGCTATTGGAGTAGAAACATTATCTGAGTTTATGTATAATTGGAATAATGGTGCCCTTTTTTATCATTGCATTCTTCCATAGAGAGTGCTGGCATATAAGAAGTTTGTGTTCCCTCCCCCACACTTTGTGTATGTTGGGTTATAGAAAATTTAATAAAGTTTTTTTATTTTTGGTGTAATGACATGGAGCCATCTGTTAATGTACTTAAGGTTAACTTACATTAAAGATAATATATGCTCAATAACAGCAATAATGGGGGTGGAGTGAACCCCCATTAACATTGTCATTGTTTTGTTCCAAGCTACCACCCCACAAAATTTGGTTGTGATTGGCCAAGCAATGTAGTAGTAATTAGATAATGGGCATACAAACACACACACACACACACACACACACACACAGACTTTCTGTTATATATATGAAATCTTTTTGATTTTCAAAGCCATGCATTCATACAAAAAATATCATGTAAATATAGTTTATTTAGTTTTGCATGTTTTGTGAACTTTCTCCCTTGCTTAGCAAAAACATAACTGGACAATATAAAAAAAAAAAAAGAACAATTTGTAAATAAATACATTCAGAAACAAAGAACTGAAAGATGCTCTTTAATAAAATTTATAAAATCATAAGTTAATCTCTGTATTACTTATTCATGTATAGTCATTACAAAGATCACTCATTAATACGATTGAATTAGAACATAAAGAAACTAGCTGTTCATCTATTTGAAAATTAATATGTGACACAAGCATTGTTTTCTTAGTCATTAAGTTACTTAGGGTGTTTGTAGGTTATACATTTTGTTGAGAAGAATTAGTCATTTATAGTGTGTACTGGCTCATAGTTTTGCTTGTTGTCAACCAAAAAACATAACTATCATGTTTTCATTATCATAGTGTTTAATACACTCATAACAGAAGGTGCTACAAAGTCAAAGATTTTTGTTATTTAGAATTTACCATCATAGTTTCTTGTCACAACACATACATACCTTAAACCATTATGTCTGTATATTGTACAATATGACACCATCTCTCATTGAAAACTATGTAAACGTTTATTTTCAAATAAATATCAGTTGCTGTTCAAGAAACATTTCTGAAAAGAATGGGCTGGATGCATTATTACAGTGTGGTTCTGAGTTTTAATTTGAGAGAAATTTACTGAAAAACAGAAAAATAATACTTAGTTACTTTAAGACAGTCTAATGCACAATCAAAAAGGTGATATAAACCATGTTGTTTTAATATGTTTCTGTCTCAACATTTATCATATCTTCATAAGTTGAGCATTCTAAGCTTGTTTAGCGATAAGTGGAATACTATTTACTATGAATTTCTCTTATTCTTAACATTTTCAAAGGAAATGAAGCAGAGAGCCAGAAAATGGTCAACAGATGTCAGGCAGATAGACTTAGATGTAAACCGTACATATAGAAACCATATCATGTTTCGAGAGCGTTATGGGGTTCAGTGAGTTTATTTTTTGATTGTTTGCTATATATCTATCTGTGTAGGTCTTGTAATTTTAACATTATAATAATTATCCCAGTTTACAGGGTTTTGAATATCAATACAATATCTTAAGTTTCATATTAGACAAGAAGGATTGTATTTTTCTAGAAAAAGTAGTATTTATAACTGTTTTGTTCTTTTTGGTAAATGTAAATGAGTTTTTTGTTTCATAGATATTTTTTTTTTTTTAGATACAAGCTATTGTAAAATAAATTATTTGTTGATTATTAATTAAGAATATTAAAACTGATTATTTAGTGGCAAAGAAATTTTATGGGAAAAAAAAATAGATTAATCATAAAGTTGCCATAACACATTACACAGAGACAATGTTTTGGTTTTTTTGCTTTTTCCTTGATCAAGTAGATAGAGTAAAAAAAATATGTTTCCAAGTTTGGATTTAATTAAGGATTATTGTAAAATACACTAAATGTAGCAATAGAATGGAAATTGTCAAAACATGTACATCATAATTGATTAAATATATTGGAGTAATGTGAATTTAATAAAGTTTAAAAAATACAAACAATCTGGGTATTAAAATATATGACATGAAGATTTTAAAATAGTTACAAAGTTTATTGAAAAACAGCAAAGACTGAGAAATAATTCCCATTTAAGAAATGTGGATTTTGCAAAAGTAATATGATATATGGTTATGTATTAACTTCTGTGGTTTGGCGTTTTTTACTTTTGGTTTAGTACTTATGATATAATTCTATATGATTCTTTATAATGATGTTTCAGTACCATCTGGCCAAACCTTATTTTATCATTATTTTATGTAATGATTATTCAAGTCTATGTTTGAGAATCTTTAGTTTCAATTTTTATTTTTGTGGTATATTTGTTCTCTAGGTTTTTGTTTTAATCTTTGGGTTCAGTTCTTGATAATTTTGTGGGTATCTTTTTTTATTGGCTTTAGCTGCAAAATTTTTTATTTTCTGCTTATTGTATTGTTACATATTTTTATAAGACTGTGTTCACTTCTTGTGTTATTGTTTTGTATATTGTTCTTGAATATCTCTGTTTCAAGACTTATAAATTGGTTATTGTTCTATTATTGTATGCAATGTTTGCCCATGTTTATCTTAATTTAAGGTTAATCATGATTCATAATATTATTATGCATAATTATTTTTAGATGTTTCCTTAATACTTTGGTTATTTCAACAATATATGCATTAATCTTTGAAATGGATAGTATACAAATTTAATCTTGTTAAATGTGTATTTTTGTAACTAAACCCAGTTAAATAAGTGTTATTATAACTTAGCATTGTTGTTAAATATGTATTATAAATCTCAACCTAGTTAAATAAGTATTATTATACATTTACTTAGTTGTTTGTTAATAAAAAAAAAAAAAAATAAAAAAAACCTCCCAACAATTTTGCCTATTATACTTGTAACTTCACTTTCAAAATTATATTTATTTTAAAATATTTTTATTATAAAAGTAATGAAGAATAAATCAATAATATTAAAATTCTCTTCAAATCTTCTCAGCTGCATATGTATACTTATCATCCATCTTTTTTTATGACCTCCTGTTTTATTTCTTTCTGATAAGTAACAATTTTTTTTTTGGGGGCTGTTAAAACATTTAACAAATATTATTACTCTTTCTTTACCAGACAACAAGCTTTATTTCATGTCCTTGCAGCCTACTCTATGTACAACACTGTAAGTAAATTTATTACTTGATCTCAAGAAATTAGTACTAAATAGAATAAAACCACAGAAAAATGCTGGTTTGATGTTTTTATAATTTTCGTATGTCACCGAAACATTGCAACGTAGCACAGAATGGCTTAAGAGATATAAATAAATGGACAATGTAAACAATATAAATATAGAAATCTGATAAGAGTAAGCCATGTTCCAAAAATGTTTTTTTAACTCAAATTTCTGAAATAACCAGATTGAAATGGGCTGTTTTATACTAGTATGATTCTGTTCCCCATTGTCAGTAATATCTTCAAATAGAATAGTTTCAACTACTTCACTACAATAAAGAACAAAAAGATACAATACACTAAAAACGTGGACCCTGTGGTCCGTTCTCCGCTTCACCGGAATATTAATGCCCCTCATACCACTCAATTAACTTCTCCATTGCAATAATTAAAGATAACTCCCCCAGTGCCAGGTTCGTTTTTACATACATAATAAAAACAAAAAAGATATAGATATTGATATCTCATTACTTGTATGAAACTTGAAACTAGTAAATTTTGGAAAGTTTTAAGTGAAATACAATTCTTTAAAGTGGTACAAAATTCCAAACTTCCACGGTGTATGTAAGAACGAACCTGGCACTGGGGGATTATCTTTAATCATTGCAATGGAGAAGTTAATTGAGTGGTATGAGGGGCATTAATATTCCACTTTAATTTTTGTACCACTACTTGCATATTTTCCTATATTGATTGTTTTTATATAGATTACAATATGATTTCAATGAAAAAGTTGGTAAGAATAAGTTTTTCTGTTTTTTACTCTGTTTATACTTTTACAGTTTTAAGAGTGAAAGATGTATGTTAGAAACAAGGACTTCAGTGTGCATGACCCATTAGCAAAATGGGAAATAAATATACTATAAGAAGAAAAACAATGCATATTTGCTAAACAAACGGATATGAAATTAAAACCTTAAAGTACCGTAATTCTTGGTTTTATAAAATGCATGAAAAACTTCCTCAATTTTCACAATGGGGAACAGTGCAGTGTAATAATGTTTAATAATAAAAAAACTTACCTACCAACCCTAACTTTTCTTGACAATGTTACCATAAACACAGAAATAGTGCTTTTGTTAGCCTAATATGCAATGACAAATATGTAATGTCAGTTAGAGATGTGTAGAACTGGCTTATGGTTTTTCAGAATGATAAAATGCTGACTTGTTTTGCACTAGAATATTGTGTACAAAATAATGACTAATTTTATACCCACGATGATCATTATATTCCTCTACCTTTAACTATTGAAAGTGGCACTTTCTGTTAAGTTTACCGTCCTTTTTCCAGTAAAGATTCATGTAAAATATCCCTTTTATTTGTACAATCAAGTGATTGATGAACTCAGTATAGTTGTGTTACTAAACAGTTGTAAACTCAATCCCAAAAATTAAGTGTATGTATTCTTGTATACATTATAAAAGCAAAATGGCAAACACCTGGTTATCTTGACATTAGTGATCTACCTAATAGTAAATATACAGACTATCTTTAAAAGAAATGTTTGCTTTTTTTTTTTTTTAAGTCCGCTCAAGAGATGTTAAAATATTTTTTTTTTAACCAAAGTCAACTTATGTGACAGTAATCTTTTATTTACACACACATATATATATACAAAGTGTCCAAAAAGTATGGAGCTGTACTCGAATTGCAGCTTTTCATACTTTCGTATATGTGACTGATTATGGTGCTGTCAAAGGATGAGAAGGTCAAGTTAATCCAAACTTGTTTCAGATTAGAAGGACAGCATGTGGAACACATTCTATAAAATTTATTGAAGTACCTATAATTCCAGACTTCAGACACCCTGTGTGTGTATATATGATTATTCCCTCATAAGCTGGTTGTGTATAGATACATATATAGCCATCTCACATGGGATTAATCAATTACTTTTATGTAATTGATCAGCAAATTTCACTAATTGTCCAGTTCTAGTTTTATTTCAGATATGCTAAAACATTTAAAATGACATTGTTGATGTTCAACGTTCATTATCTTTACATCAGCCATTTTATTGAAATTACATAACAGGAACTTGTTATAAATAAGCAAAGAAATAGATGGACAGATGTATAGATATCACTAAAGATGTTCCATGTTTTTGAAAATTTGTACTAAATTAAATTTTTTCAATATTGTAAGTTATATATATTTGTGAAGTTATTACATATGTGAGGTTGGTTTGTAAAACAGCTGTATAGTGAAATAAGACCTTCAAGATTCTGTAATTCTTCAGCAGGAACTAAACATGTTGAGAAGTTAGCATTTCAAGACATTTAAAAGCTAAAACTCAACCACCACTTGCAAGAATGAAAATGTCTTTTTTTTTTTTTTCTAATACGTTTATGCTTAAAAGTTCACTGGCTACAAAAACTTTAGTGAACCTACACTATAAAATGTGGCAAAAATAACACTATGTGTGTGAAACTTATTCAGTCAGTACCCTACAACTCCAAATCTCAAATATTCCAGATGAGTGTAAATAGTAGTACCCTGTATAAGATATACTGAGTGTTGTTTGTTTTAAAATGTGATACAATGTAAAACTTCTGCATCTGTTGTAATGTCTGGTAGCCAAAGAACAACTGTAGAGTTATTTATTGAGTGAATATTATGAAGGTATTCTGAGCAAATACCTAGGTCAAGTTTAGAGTTAAGTAATGTATATTTGCATCTTTTGAGGTATTATAGTTTTTGTTGTTTTTTTTATAGTCACAGTTATTTGACAGAATAAATTTTTTTACAGTAATAATTGAATTAAAAGTGACTGTTCTGAATCAAAACTCACATTGATGTACTTTATAAAAAGAAATAATGTAGTAATCAACACTTACGACTTGTAGGGTACTTGCTAGCTACATAGATAATTTTCAGAATATGAAATATGCTGACAAATTCTAAAGATGAATTGTATATTTTGTTATGCTCTAGGAAATTGGCTACTGTCAAGGGATGAGTCAGATAGCTGCACTGTTATTAATGTATATGAATGAAGAGGTGAGTATAACAGTTATATGTATCTCGGCTGCATTAAGCTTGGTGTTACATACTTTAAAAATAATATTTTTTATGGTAGAACATACATATATTTTAAAGTTCTGTGAAGGACAAAGAAATTTATAAAATATTTTGACTGATTTTTAAATAAAGATTTCAATGGAAAATGTCCAGCAGAAAAGAAATGCATTAAATAGTAATGAAATGATGATACTTTTGACTTGTATATGTAATATGTAAGTACTAAATACCTTAATCCCTTATAGTATATATTTCATTTCTTAAAAGATTTGAATTTTTTAAAGTTCAAGTAGGGAAAATCCCAATCTGAAGTCGTGGTAAGGTCAGCCAACATGTTACTCTTTATAGCTTCTCTATTCAAAAATCTTTATATACTATTTCATGAGATGGTTACATTGTATTCTGGATGAAGAACAACTTTGCAACTGTCATATAGAACTGTTCTAGTTCCTTGTTCTGATTGGTCAGTTATTTAGAAGAGGTTTAACATGAATGTGGTTTGGAGATTTCAAACAAGATTTACTATAGACGTAACTTCATTTTTTCAATATTTCTTTACCTACTGGCCATAAGCACTCTTTTTTTTTCTGTTTATTTTATTGAATCTCTAATATTCTGCAATAGTTTTGGTACTTAACAATCATCTATATCCTTACATTATTCAGAACATGGTGTTTAAATTTTATTTGAATTTCAACAAGTTCTATTTTTCACGTATAACAAATCACTACACCTTCTCTGCATACAAGGTTTAACCTTGATGTTACCAAACATGTAGAGTAATAATTTGTTTACATAAGATAGTGGATTCGATTCATTTCTTGAAAGAGAAACGATTAATATTTAATCATTGAGAGTAAATAAACTGTTCAAAAATTATTCTTAAATGCCCACACATTTATATAATCTATTTTTTGGATATTTTGTTTCAGGATGCTTTCTGGAGTCTTTCTGTCTTGATGACAAATGAAAAACATGCCATGCATGGTAAGTGTGGTATATATTTAATTGTTACGGGTATACCGGGTTTGGACATGGTAATCATTCTAACCTTACTATTTTAATTTCATCAGTTAAAAAATTTACATACACATTATAATATAACCATTTATCACTTAAGTACAAACATATCAATATTCATTAGTTCTCTTGCTTGTGGTAGTTTTCTTGCCATTATTTTTTAATTTTTTTATTGTCTGATATTCTTTACTAGCCTAAGTATTCACACTTTCAAGGAGCTGATACTATGTTTTGCATGTCATTACAGATGAAGTTTGGTCAGCATTCAGAGCTCAGTTGGGAAACTGAGTTGCAAAGTTATACATTATGATGGTGTAGAAAACTGAGTTACACATTGTGCCTTATTAATAGATTGAGTTAAGTACTGTATTGGATAAATTGATTTTTAACATTACAAATTGATTTTAAGAAATTGGATTACATAGGTACATTCGACAGTCGGTAAAACCTGAACTCCAAAACTTTTTAGGTGAGTAATAAACTTGTTTTATTATTAAAACAAGGCAATGCACTGAGTTAGAAGATTGTGTGTTTGAATAAATTTAGAGCTATCAATCTATATATTATGGTTGAGTAATGAACTGGTTTAAAAATTTACACACTGTGATTCAGTAATAATTTGATTTAGAAGGTATAGATGTGGTAGAGAAACCAGTTGTGCATTCAGTTTGGATAATAAACTGAGTTAGAAAGTTACACAGTGGGATTGGGGTAACAAATTGAAACATTACAAGGTTTCGGATGTAGTTGAGTAAAAATTTAATTACAATGTTATGTATTCTGTTTGTATAATGTACTGGTTTTCAAGGTCACATTGTGGCTAACAAACTGAGACTGCACAGATCCTCGTAGTTAAGTAGATGAACCTTTTCATGTAGTTTTTGAGATTGACACAGCATGAAATCACTTTCAACATGTATGTTAGGTTTAGTAGTTGTAAGTGATTTACGATTCCTTATGTTTTCAACTTTAACATAAGCATTCTTTATAACTTTTCTGAATTATTTTACAGTTTGGGGGGGACATATTTGAAGCAAATCTGCTGCTGTTAAATAACATATTTTATATATATCATTTAGGATTTTTTATACCTGGCTTTCCCAAGCTTCAGAGGTTTCAGGAGCATCATGATAAGATCCTAACAAAATTTCTACCCAAACTAAAGAAGCATCTAGACAAGTATGAAATTCATTCAAGTCTTTATACCCTCAAGTGGTTCTTTCAGTGTTTCTTAGACAGGGTAAGTACATAAAGTTTATGGTATTTGATAAAATCTGTACAAACCTAAACAAAGCTCTGGAAGATCTATATTTAAACATTTCACTGGACCTTGACTGAGACACAAGCAAGAACAAATTATTCTGTCCACTTTGCTTGAAATATAAGTGTTTTTAAACATTAGATGATGAACATTTTATGCTACAGCTCATATAACTGATTTGGTGGACTTCCTATTGATTTTTAGATATTGTAAAGTATAGGCCACATCAGACTTGAACTCAGAAGGAAATGAAAGGAGGTATTGCTATTATACTAATATAGCACAGCTATAAAGAAGAGCTCCAGCTGTGTTGGAACATTAGTTGTGTATTTTATAATTAGTTTTAGTTTATTTGAGATAAGTTTGATTTTTATTATTTGGCATATTGTTACTTACTTTGAGGGTTTTCTTATTTTTTCATTAATTTCCACTCACAGTCTGAAAACAATTAATATAGAACTAAGGGAGAAAGTCACAAGACTTGAATCAACAATTGAGAGGTGTTAATTCAAAGTAAAATCATAGCAGTTTGTATACTAGGAAAGTTCTTCTTTTAACCCTCTTGCTATATTAAAGTCTTAAGTGCACGTATGTTTTTTTTGTTTTTTTTATAGAGATATATACATTCAAAATTTAATTAAATACTTAGTTTAATTTAACTACTTTACTATCATTGTATATGAATAAACTCAGCATCAAAATGTAGATAATAAACCAAATTTTAATATTATATAAATTAAATTATAAGTTTTATTTTCTTAATTTTATAAGGAAATATTTTAAAAAATCCTCGCTCCCCTTGTATGAGAACTATGACATTTGCTCTCTAGGTCTTCTGTCTTTTTTAATTTATTTACAACCCCTCTGAGAAGTATTTGATTTAATGTAAGTTACATATTATAATATAGATATTACTTAGGCAAAGCATAATTTAAATAGCCTTCAATCTTGTTTGTTTATGGAGTTATAAACTAGAATATCAGACCTACTTGCTACATCCACCCTTCACATTCTCTTTTTCACAAATTATCAATAGCTCTCTCTCTCTCTCTCTCTGATGTTTATTACTTATAACAAATAGAAAGCCACAAATTTAATCTATCAAATGGTGTGTTATATTATGTTTTTGGTACAGAGAATTGTCTGTCACCTCCAGTTCAAAAAATTTTCTCCTGGGAATCATATTGACAAATGTAGTTGAATTGTTAAAAATTCATATCACATAGTTAGAAAGCCTGAAAATTATGATAGTTACAGGACATTGTTTACTTTTTGCATGTTATTATTCTGTGTTCTTAGATGCATTATTATTTAGTGTAGTTGTGCCATTATTATAAAAAGTAGGCTTAAGTTTCCTCGATAGTCAACAGCAAAAAAAAGGAAAAGATACCTACATAAGTAGTGTATATTTCTTGTTTTTCATGTGTTGTTTTTTTTTGTTATTATAAAAGTAACCAAATGTAAAAATTAGAAACTTGTGTAGTTAGATTAGGTAAGATAATGAAAAATAAAAATTCTTCACTTGTTATGGTTGGAAGCAACTTATGCCTCATGTAATTCAAAATAGTAATATGAACTGCACATTTGCTGAGTGATTTACAACTTGTTTGGTGAGATTATTAGTTAGACATGGTTCAAAGGGCAATAAACCAATAAAATGAAGTATAAACAGATGGATACTGTTATAAAGATTAAGCTATTTAGGATAAACAATTGGGGTTTCCTGTTACAATGTGCAATCATTCTATAAAGAAAAATGGGTAATTTACATTTATTTCCTAATTTTTATAGACGTTAAGAGGTCAGTCAAATAGATCAACCCCATATAGAGTTATGGTAGAGAAAATAACTGATAAAATATAAAGTTTTTTTGAAAAAAGAAACTTTTGATACTTAACTCTCTCTCAGTTCAGGCTTGGTCAATTTGACCAACCATGTTACCTCTTTGTATTTGTTTAAAGTCTTTATAGATTTGATATTACTAACTTTAATATAGTATGTATATCTTCACAAAATATGACAGTCTTTCAGTGAACATTATAAGTCTTTCCCATATAAAAAATCATATTTTTTAGTGAAGTATTTTTAATAAACTAAATAGATTTGTCCATAAATATATCAAGTATTTGTTTTGAATAGTCCATGTGCAAATTGATTTTCATGTTAAGATTAAATATACTATTCTTGATCTCAAAAATCTAAAATTTCATTTGTGTAATCACTAAAATATCTTAAATACATTTCAAATGTTTGTTTTTAGTAAAACTTTATATTTTGTCTGTTATTATCTCTACTCTAACTCTATAAAAGGTTTGTAAATTTGACAGACCTTGTATCCATAAAAAGAAAAAGGAAACTAATCTGAATTACCTTTTTTTCTTTGTAAAATGACTTCAAAATGTATCATGAAACTACATTCATTTACCCTAATAAGCTGGAAACTCGTAAAAATATACATCTATTTATATTAAGTCATCAAGAAGTTAATGTCTCCTTTGGAACACTTTCATTACCCCCCCCCCCCCCCCAAGAGTTGTACATCATGTGTAATAGTTAAACGAATCGCCTGAATGTCATGTTAGTGTAGCCTATATAATGTGTAAAATTTAGTATACTCTAATCCCTTATAGTGATGGCACACGACGAGACACGCATTCGGCATGTAATGCTG